GACGGACCACCTATGGACGGCGTCGCCACAATGGACGTCGGCCGTCTTTTGGAACTGTAAGACCACGCGGAGCCTCCCCCCTCCCCAAGAACGCTGCAGCAGGCAAAATATATGTTTTTTTTATTTCTCATGTGTATTCTGTGTTGTTTTTTTTTTCCCCTTCAGCAGCAGTTGCAGAGCGAGGCTGAGGCTGCCCATTGCATGACGCCTTTGTATGTATGGGCGACGACCGGCTGCCTTTGCAGACCGGTATATAGGGTGAATTAAGGAGAGGAGGATGTGGGGATCTGAGGCGCGCCTGCGACCATTTCGCGGGCATTTCGCGGGCATTTTGCTTTCCTGCTCTGTTAACACTACGTGGCGATAGATGGCGCCACGTGCGGGCACGGCACACGGTACGCGCGTGCCGAGGGAGCGCTCTCTTCTCCGTGGTCGGCGCCGGGTAAGCACGTGTTTTCCTTCGTCCGCGTCCACTTTGGGAATCTCCGGACTGTAGCCTGCCTGGGGTGGCCTTGGGCACCTCGGCAGGCATGTTTACTTGAGTGCTAGCTTCGGTAGTGTACGCTAAGCCCACAGCGGTGCCTAGTGCTTGAAGTGGTCGTATCACAACGAGCCGCACTTGCCGTAGGCCTACGCGTACGAGGTTTGCCTTAACACTCGCGACCAGGCCCATTGGCCATCGTGAGAGTGCGCAGCATAGCCGCGAGGGACCTTTTTCCTGACCGGCGTGTCAAAGCTCGCCATTGCCAGCTGCGACGTGCTCGCGGTTTTCTCCTTATTGTGAACGTCCGCGTGCGGGTGCCTTTGCTACCAGCGTCCCGGGAGCGGACGTTGTACTGTTGTTCGGGGTGCCGCCAGAGGCAATAAAGTGTTGTGTACTGTGCATTAGAACACTGTCTATTTGCTGCGCCGCGCTAAACGCCTTATTAGATGAGCGCGCGCGGAGCGGTGCGCTACACGCGTGTAAACAGAGTAGCGGCCCTGTGGCTCGCTAAGCGTGAACCCGCAGTGATCGTCCGCTGCAGTTAGTAGCGGGGTCACCACACATTTAATGCAATTGTGCAGCCTTTGAACACTCGTGCTGTGTGCCTCTTCTTTGCTTTGTGCCTGCGTTTACTTCCGCGCTCCTAGTTCGCTGAACCATCATGAATTACCAACTAGCCCACCTTTCCATCCTATTGCAATGCCTTTATCAGATTCTGCTTCTATAATTTGGTATCCTTTCATCAAAAGACATTAATAAAATAGAAGGCATTCAAAAGCGGGCAGTATGATATATGTTGCCACGAGTGTATTTTGATGCCCTTGGTTTAAACCAACAAAGACTGGAAGCAATACTCAGTGCAGATTGTGGCTCGAGAACCTTCACGCTTGTAGTAGATAAATCTGTTAAGATTGCGCATAGGACGTGAACACTCAAGATTATTCTAGACCTTGCGGGATCACCACTGATAAGATTGGAAATGGAAAGTTCGACGCGTGATGTATAAAAGATGGCGCATCCCTGCGGCCCGGTGGAACACTTTCGACACGATTACTGTGTATGATATACCACCCCCATGCCACATTCAACCAATTTTTCAGTGCTTGATAGCACATCCACGATCCTGCATGCTCAGCCCCAACAACTTTTTATCCACAGCTGCACAAACCCGACCAAGTTTGTTCTCAGTGGAACAACCACGTAGTATCCAAATCTAGAGTCCACATTTTTCTGCCAATAGGATATGCCGTGCAGGTATGGGATGCTTACAAAAGGAGCTGCGTCTTTGCTCTTAACCTGATTTCTACTCCTCACTCTTATCTTCACCGCCTGCAAAAATCCTCTCGGCGAGGGCAGCTGGATGGTGCTCAGGCAATCACGACTGCTTGAACCGGTCCACTTGTCCTTTAAAAATTTCTTCCACCCGATGTGGGCGAGTCTTTGAGTTACGCCTTCACGCAATACCATCTTTAACTTTTTTACAGAGCCCTGAGTGGAAATAGGTGATAGGCTTTATGCTGCGGGGTGTACATTCAGCGAACATGACCTCCAGAAAATGTTAGAGACATGTAAAAACTGCATACTAATTCGTGTTTGGGCACCTCACAAGTAAACTTCAGCCTGGACCCCACTTTCCTGAACGCTTTCAATGCATCAATTCTAGTAGTCACACATCGACAATCTTCAATTAAAATGAAGTAATCATCCGGATGTCTGAAAGTCTTCACCACAAGTTTTAATGCACTTGCTTAGGCATGGTCAATCGCAGCCAGAAAATTATTCTGGTGCAATACTCGGTTCAATCCAAACCCTTAACCTTTAGTATATGCCCACCCCTTCCAACTGAAAGTTTGGCAGATCCCATGTGCCTTGGGAATCAATGTTATGCAAAGCTTGTGTATAGAAAATGACTGTGTTGTGGCAAACTGGGATGAAGTGGCGCTAAATTTATATACAAATGCACGCACAGACATACATTAAACAGTCGCATATGTTTTGTATAACCAGTTATTTACTGTTCCATAATGATGCCAACAGCAACGTGGACATTAGAAACACCAAAAGCAGTAAGCTGATATGAAGCGCTAGTGCTCGCGAAGATGGTAGCCCTAGGCACTGCTACGTAAATAAACTTCAACAGATGGTGCCTAACTACAATTTACATTAACCTGACATGGTGGCTGTGTCATAGAAGGTACATAGTAACATTTATAAAATTGAATAGCCAGCACTGCAACCACGATTGACGTGACGTACATTAGGGTCTAGTGTTTAAAAAGTAGTTCTGAGACCTGGTGTGGCTCTGTGGTAGAATACTTGATGCTGGGGTGCGATTCCTGCTGGGACCCTGACATTTAATCTTTGCATTTGTCAGGTCAACGCTGCCGATGTCATCTTTTTTTGTTGCTCACGCGTGAAAATTACCCTGTGTCTGTTCTCACAGTTCCTGGGTAAAACAATCAATCATGTGTGACACACACCCGCGTACTTGTGGCAGATACCCTCCCGCAGTTATGAGCCACACAGCTGGCGGGCAGTGTTCGACGGATTACAGGACAGGATTGTGACATTATTCATGTCATGACCAATGAGTCATTCCATAAACCATCTTACCCTCCCATACTCATTTTGGCTTACCCCAAGTTAAAGGGGTGATCACAAGAGCAGCCAGACAGAGATGGCTAGATAGGTAAATAGATAGATGCTCAAAGCGCCTGCAGCACGAAAATAAATGCTTTGCATTTATTAACAGTTGGCTTTAAATATACAGACAGGAGTTTGAGGAAGGCACACGTCAAAAAATGCCAGGCCTGTGCGAAATCGAAAAACGTTTGTTGAACCAGATTTTGACTGTATATCCATTGTGCTATCAGAGCATAATCAAAATACAGATGACGAAAAAGGAGACAATGACAACTCAGGCAAATTTCATTATGAAAAATGTGGGGAGTAAACGTATGTCGGCTTATCGAAGCTTTCTACAATATTCAGACAAGGTTACTTATATTATTTCAGTGACATGATCAGGGCACTCGGTTATCTAGAGCATAATTCTGCTTTCGTTGACCATCTCGTAAATATCGGTATGCGTTAAACTAATACAACGATGTGTCACGATGTGATGCAATGATGATGATTCACCCAGTTTTCACCCATACACGTCTCCCGAAAGGAGGTGTGCTAGAATGCATTTATATTTCTTATTTCGAGGAATTCAGCACTGAAACAAAATGCACCATAACTAAAAGAAAGTAATACTGCCACAAACGAATTCATGCCTTCTTACATAGCAATGATCTATATCAGGGAAATTCAGCAGTTGCCATGCATTTTTGTAAATTGTACCAAAATAACTGCAGTAACAAAAATTAAATATTTGTCTTCATTGCAGCCTGAAGATTCTGTTGCTGATTCTTACTTTTATGGGAGAAAAAAGAAAAAAAAACTTGCGCACGCTGGAGTCCAGTGCTCTTTGCTGTCTGCTGCAGTCTGTTGAAATTCTTAGTGAAGGCCCCCTCTTGGGGCAGCCGGCGCGTGAGGCAATACTCTCTGGTTTCGCTGGGGAGCACGGTGATTTGGGCGGTTTGAGAAAAACCCAGCGCGCCTTCACGGAGGCCATGGTGAGACAAAGGCAGGAGATCAGCTGTATGTAGACCAGGAAAAGTTTCCATGAACCGAAAACATGAAAATATCAGCTTTTCGGCGGACTGAAGTTACTCTGTGTAAATAGAGCTTGACTAGGTAACGACCCTGGATAGGTAGGCATGCGATCGAGGTGTATGTAGAAGCACATGAACTTCTAGGAAAAGCGCATGCTCTTCTAAAAGAGAGCGAGACATCCTGTTTTTATCTCTACTTTTCTAATCATAAAACGGGGGAACGCAAGTTCATCCTTTGTACTCATGAATATTCATTTGGACGACATTTCATTTGAGTAAAGGTGATTTTTGCAATAGACGGGATCTGAATGTTGTCGTAATATGTGGGGTTACTGCAAAACTGTATCGTATTACCAATAATTCTAATACATTATTTCTGTTAGGATGTTGCTGGTACCAAACTGATTCATCGTAAAATGCAGGTCGTCATGAAATCAGGGAACATATAGTTGAAGTTCTAATGTATTCTATGAAGTGAACAGATGGATGACCGTTGTTGTTCAGTGGTAAAGCATCCGACGTATTATTCGAAGGCTGCAGGTTCGGTGCCTGCTGATGGCAAGTTATCTTTACGTTGACTTTTCTTTCTTCGCGTTAACATTACTATTACTTGAAATAACACCCCCTTTACTTTTTGGGCATTATTGTCGATTAGTTTTCATTAATATTGTGTCTGTATTAACAACTGCGTCTATATTGTTTCTATCAGAAAAAGAATCCCTCAATTCTGTTTTCTTACCTTATAATTACGCTGTTAACTTGATCACTGTTCAATTTGATGCTACTTCTTGTGCCACCTTGTGCAACAAGTATAAAAATGCACATCTCCTTGCCCAATCAGATGTAAATGTTTGCAGCCTGTGGATGTGCTGCTTCAGTCTTGCGGTGTCCTTGGGGGCAGCACTGCTGCTGCCAGTATCCATTATCAGCAATGAAGTGTTGCTGCTCTACCCTTCTAGCTTCTACGTGCAATGGCTCAACAGTTCACTCATTCACGGTAAGCACACTTTGAAGTGTTTGATTGTCTCGCAAGCTAGGTTGGTGCTTTCAGAGTACGAGTTCTAGTTTTAGCTTAACGATGAACAGGTTCAATAAAACTTGTTGTTGGGGGTGTTGGTTATTCATTATATTGTAAGATAATTAGTGCAACTTTGACTCCTGCAAACAATCATACAATAACTCACTCATCCACCCTATAAACACACATGACACTCGGCGCTAACTACCAACTGTTTATTGCGACTAAATGACCCTCTCATTTATGAACGGAAAATTGCGCGAAGGTCATGATGAATAAAGGTGCTGATGTGGAAAGCATTCAACTAGCAATGTAGCAGTAGTTGTAGTAGTAAGGTTGGTGGTGGTGGTGGTGGTGGTGGCTGTCCAAAACCCATTACACTCAAACTTAACCCAAAAAGGAGTGGTACAGGCAAAAAAAAAAAAACTGCATATAATCGTGAATGAGGTACAATTAACAGCTGGAAAAGAAAGGTAAGACATTGTAGCATTACCAACGCAGCCTTCTAAAATGTATTGCGGCTTCTCAGAATTTCATTGACCAGATAATAGAGCAGAACATACTATCATATGAAGGATTGGAGGTTTTCCAAGCATTGTTTTCTCGGTATATCCATGGAGCTTCTCAAACGATTACATAAAAAAACGAATACCCTCCCTCCCCTCCCCCCATAATAATAAAGAGTTTTCACACATGCTGCACTGTTATTCGCGATGGGCTTATGGTTGTGTGGGAGTAAAACTTTTATTTTCGCTGCATCTCCCCACTGGTTACTTCTGCTGTGAGGCAACTGTGCAAACACGTAATTCGAATTGATATCCTTGAGTACCTTTTTTTACAGCGAAGGCTGTTATGAGATCAAAACACGCGTCACGTGCAGCGCCGTGGTATGGTTCTTACAATTCTAGGAACCATAGCTGTAGTTGTCCGCCGCCGCCCGTAACCGGTATCGAAAAAACAACAAAAAACTAGGTAAATAAAGAAAACACCAACGACACAATAGGATTTGAACCCCGGTCCGCTGCGTGCCAGCCCAGTATTCTACCACTTACCCAAGCCAGTGCTTGGAACTTGTTACTACACTGACCTTAAGCAGGCTTGATGTCGGGAAAGGAATCACGATAATGTGAGTAATGAAGTGTTTTAGAACATCAAAGGAACAGCTAGGCATCACATAATGCAAATTGCACAACGAATGGGTCGTTCCATGCTCCAATCTATTAGGAAACTTGTTCTTAATCACCTATTAACTCTGGCGCATACCCATTTTATGAATATTTCTTCATCTTCATCAGCCACGACATAAATATATTGCACAAGATTTCCAACAAGTGTGTAGCGGATGCCAAGCTTCTCCAAAGATTGATGAAGAAGAGCCTAGTAAATGCTAGCCTATCACACAAAATTTATTATTGATGGTGCTGTAGGTAACCAGCTGTGTGCTTGTCGCATCCCAAAAGAGTGTTGAGAAAAGGCTCTGAAAGGCCGCTCTTCTAGCTTCTGCTGTGACTGTGCTGCGGGTTTCACGCAGGCGTGGTGTTTTTTTTTTAACACGCTTAAAATGCTAAGTGTCAAATAAAAATTTGAGCAGATGTGCATTACAGTGCCTTGCAGGTTTGCTCGCCTCCTTTAGTAGCTATTACGGTGCTTTAGTAGCTATAACGAAATGGTGCTTTACAGGTGCTTTAGTAGCTATAACGAAATGCACGGTCGCAAGCACCCAGAGCATTACGGCGCTATAAGGCAGTTGCCGCTAAATTGCCCTGAGCAATACACCTGCAGTGGCTTCACTTCGATACATTGGTGGGTGTGTGAAAACCCCCACTCCAGAAGTTTTAGTATAACCTCCTTGATCCCACCGTTTCTGCAAGTTGCCTAACTACAGTAAAATCTCGTTAATTCGCCCCCATTAATTTGAAACTTTGATTGATTCGTCCACGGCGTCCGGTCCCATTCGAAATGTGCATTGTTTTGTGACTGAAAACTCAATAATTCGGACAAATTTGATCGTGCATTCGGTTAATTCGAATGCCCGACCGCGGTCCAGTCACGACGGGGAAGCAGCAGTGGATTCTGCCGGTCAAATCGGCAATGCACCTAAACACTTTTGGGATCAGATTGTGGCCTCTCAGACTGAAAACTTCGTCTATGGGTAGTACATCTCAGAGGCACCCCCCCCCCCCCCCAAAAGAAAAACCACATCGTGGTTCAAACAACCAAAATGAAAGGCAGTGCATTGCTATTGTCATCAGCAATGGGCAACCTACAGATTTGCCTTTCCTTTTTTCTTGCGCATCGAACACGGTTGCGTGACGGTTGAGTTGGATTGCTCAGCTCTAGTGTGCTTTAAATTATTGATCTGTACGTGATCAGTGCCAAAATAACAGTGCCAAAATAACTACCAATATGGATAGGATAGTTAAAATAGCGGAGGAGTTTTACAGGGATCTGTACAGTAGCCCGGACAACCACGACTTTAATACTATAAGAACTAGCAGTAACCCAGATGACGCCCCACCAGTAATGATAGAAGAAGTCAGAAAAGCTTTGGAGAGCATGCAAAGAGGCAAAGCTGCTGGTGAGAATCAGGTAACATCAGATCTGCTGAAATATGGAGGACAGATTGTGTTAGAGAAACTAGCCGCCCTGTTTACGAGGTGTTTCCTGGCGGGAAGAGTACCAGAGTCCTGAAAGAACGCTAACATCATCTTATTACATAAGAAAGGAGATGACAAGGACTTGAAGAATTACAGGCCGATCAGCTTGCTCTCTGTAGTGTACAAGCTATTTACAAAGGTAATTGCTAACAGAGTAAAGAAAACATTAGAATTCAATCAACCAAAGGAACAAGCAGGATTTCGAACAGGCTACTCAACAATCGACCACATTCTTATATCAATCACGTAATAGAGAAATGCTCAGAATATAACCAATCACTATACATAGCCTTCATAGATTACGAGAAGGCGTTTGATTCAGTAGAAATATCAGCCGTCATGCAGACACTGCAAAATCAGGGCGTTGATGAAGTATATATTGTGAGCGCAGTCACCGACTCTTCCTTATCAATTGGCGTGTCATCATCATTTATATAATTTCCTCATGTGTAGATATCATCATCAGTGGGTGCCAGCTCGAGCTTGCCTCGAATAAAGCTCTTCCTCATAAGTGGTGGAGGTGCTTCTCGATCCCCAAGTCCTCTCACACGTTACCACTGGAGCTCCGCTCGGGTCGTCGTCTACTATTACCTGGCATGGCAGTGCAAGACAATCCTGGTCCATCCAACACTGCCAGCCCAGTGCAGCCTCCGTCGTCGACCCTGGCCATCCACAGCCACCAGCGTGATCTGCCATTATTCTCGGGTCTCAAAGGGGATGATGTTGAATAATGGCTACACACCTACGACCTCGTCAGCGAGTTGAACAGGTCGGATATTCTACACAAGTTGTGTACGGTCCCTTTCTACCTAACTGATGTTGCCAAAACCTGGTTTTGGAACCACCTCCAAGATCTTTCCGACTGGATACGTTCGCACGGCAGCTCCATCAGATTTTCGGTTCTCCCAGTGTTCGCACTGAGGTGGCAACAAAGAAGTTTGCTGAACGCATTGAGCTGGCAGGTGAATCGTACACCTCGTACATTGAGGATGTTCTTGCCTTGTGCAAGCGTGTAAGTTCAGCTATGCCTCAAAGCGACCAAATACGCCATATTATCAAAGGCATAAATACCGTCGCATTCAACGCCCTTGCGTCGCAAAACCCTACCACGACTCAAGATGTCATCACCATTTGCCAGAGACTAGAAGAACTTCAGTCTCTTCGTCTTTGCCATGATGCCTCGGACATTCGTCTTCCTGCAGCCCTCGACATCCATGCCCTAGTTCGCGACATCGTTCGTGAGGAGCTTCATGGGCGCTGCTCTTCCTGCGCCCCACCGTCTACTTTAGCCTCAGCTCCAACCAACTTGCGGGACATCATTAGGCAAGAGATTGCATCTGCGTCACATTCACGTTGTTCCGCCGAATCCAGACGTCGCCCGGTTCTCAGCACCCAATACTATCCCAGTGGCTACACCAGGTGGCCATGTATTTGTGGCGTCAGTGTCACCACCGATGCGCCCAGAGCTGTATTATGCCATGCCGCATCCTCAACGCCCAATCTGTTATTATTGCGGCTATAGGGGTCATATATCTCGCTTTTGCCGAATGCGTCAACAGGACGAGCAACGGGGCTACGCTCCAGAGGAACAGGGATGCTTCAGTCCACTCACGAACTACCAGCGCACACCTTACCGGTCTTCTTTTCGGCGTTCGCCCTCTCCACCTTACAGTAGTGGTCTGCCTGTGAACTCCCGTGAGTCTCGCCGCTGCTCACCATCTCCCGATTGCCGTTCTGTGTCCCCTCTGCGACCTGCCTCCAATGTTCTGAGTGCCCACTCGGAAAACTCCCCAATGCAGTTTTAGGAGGGGAAACTGCATCCACGGGACAGCCAGCATTTCCTCGAGACAGACCATCGAACTTGTTAACAGTGTTAGTAGAAGGTATACGTGTACAAGCTCTAGTGGATACTGGCGCTGCTATTTCCATTATTCGCTCTGACCTTTGCTCCCGTCTCCGCAAAGTAACAACACCTTACTCGGGCCCGTCTCTCCGTGCTGCGACGAACGCCATTTGTCGCCCACTCGCCCAGTGTACAGTTCGTGTTTTCATAGACGGTATTCGTCATCATATTGCTGTTGCAGTTCTCCGTGAGTGCACCCACGAACTCATTTTGTGGTGGGATTTTCTGTCGTCTGCACGCGCTTCTATATCTTGTCGTCAGTGCCTCATCCACCTCGATCCCGCCGACTCTTCTGTATTGGAACCCGAAGAGCGCATTCATCTCGTCACCACTTCAGATTATGTTCTTTGGCCATCCCGAGAAGAAGTAATTAGCGTTGATTGCATCAACATTGTGGATGGCGACGTGCTTCTACTACC